ACTTCCTGCCCCACAGAGAGCATTGTGTTGATTCAAGAACTAGGAAAACTATCACAAAGATAGGGACAGCATGACTCACAGCACTTGGTACAAACACTGGTTCTCCGGATCTAGATTGGCTAGCTCCAACTAAATTACTAAATCCCCCACCAGAGCAGAATATATGGTAATTTAGATGGATACTTAAGAGCTCTGCTGCCTTGTCAGACCCTGTGGTTTCCTTGAGCACTCACACAGTCAGCACATACCTTGGATGCCTCTGTTAGGATGAGCTTGGAATCCTTCACCATGCATTGCAGAGGGATGGTCACATCAATCACTTTCACCTTCTCATTCTTCCGGCTGTTATCGTTGACAAACTTCCCATACCAGGCATTCACTACAATCAGACCTGCATTTTGCACAGGGACACCTCCATGGGCAAAGGCTGCCTTGAGCACCTGGGCAGCAACTAAAGAACCCAGCTCATGCCCTCACCTAACATCTTCCTGGAAAGATTCCCATATCCTTCAGCACACCAGGACAAGCCCAGCCAGAATGAAAGGAGAATTTCTGCACTGACCCGTGACCCTCTGAAACTTAACCAAGCAGGAAATAGGGCACAGGCAGATACCTTCCACCTCCTACCACTACCTTTGATCCAGGCCAATCCCTTCCTAGTAAAGCATTTCTACTTCTAAGTTCAGGATTAACAGAAGATGACTGAGGCAGTTCACATTTCTCAGAACAATGATTTTAGGTTGTCCACAGATTTAGGCAGCTGTCACTGCAGCAGTTACACTCAATTCACCCTTTGAATGTTATCTTTGAAAGCATAAAGCCCAAGAAGTTATACAGCATTTAGATTTCAAAGTTAAGGTCTACTGGCAAATTACGTTGCTCTGGAATGACAGAATCCTAGGGTGCCTATACACATGCAGTGAGGCTGCTCCGGCGCGCTGTAATTACAGCATGTTGGAGCAGACTCACTCGAGTAATTATGTCTGCTGGAGCATGGTAATTACCATGCTCCAGAAGACTCCCATGTGTCGTGTAGTAGTGTCCCCACACTGAAAAATGGTTTGGTGAGCTTTAGTTAAAGCGCCCCTGCTGCCATTTTTCAGCATGAGAATGCTGATACATGAGATGCTCCAGGCGCTTTAATTAAGCAGCTCTTGGAACTGCTCTAATTAAAGCTTCTGTCACCCCTCAACCCGGAGCATGTATATAAACACCCCACGACTCAAGACAACTGATATATACACAGACATTTATGGCTTTTTACAGTGGTCGCCCAGCTCTTAGGGTAGAAGTCAATGGAGAAAGCTGCTGGTGCCTATCCAGTATTGCCTGAATTCTCCTGGCTCTAAGTTCAAAGCCAGACCACATCCCCCAGCAACATGTTAGAACACTACTAGGTGTCCCCCCCTCCCTTCTGCTGCATTCTGTGTAGAC